ATGTTGCTGCAAATGGCATTATTTTTAAATATAAAATAAATATTTTAAATGTATCTTTTTCTTTCTTCTCCTTTTGGTATTCCCATTATGTGTATGTTACACCTTTTATAATTGTACCATGGTCCTTGGACATTCTGTTCTCTCATTTTTTTTCTCTTTGATTTTCAGTTTTGGAGGTTTCTACTGTGATATCCTCAAGTGAAGAGAATCATTCCTCAGACGTGTCCAGCCTGCTAATAAGCCCATCAAAGGTACTCTTCATTCTTCATTTCTGTTAAAGTATTTTTAATCTCAAGCGTTTCATTTCGGTTCTTTTTTAGAATCCCTATCTCTCTGCTTTCATTGCCCATCTGTATAGTTTCGTGCTGTCTACTATAACCATTAGATATAGTACATTAATTACAGTTGTTTTGAATTCCCAGTATGCCAATTCCAACATCTCTGCTATATCTGACTCTGATTTTGATGCTTTCTATATCTCTTCAAATTTTGTTTTTTGCCTTTCAGTATGTTTGGTAATTTTTTCTTGATAGCTGGACATAGTGTAGCTGTGGAAAAAGAATTGCTCTAGATAGGTCTTTAGTAATGTGGTGGAGAGGGGTGGGGGGAGGAGAAGCATTCTGAGTCCCATGATTAGGTCTCACAGTTTTGCAGTGAGCCTATGCCTCTGGACCATGAACTTCACAAGTGTTTCTCAGCAGGATGGTTAGAGTGGGCTGGAGTCGGGTATTTTCCTTCCCACACATGGAAGACTGGAGACAGCTGTAGTTGGGTATTTGCCTTCCTCCAGACCATTTAGGTTCTGATAAAGTCCTAGCAGGTTAGGCTCTGGTTAAATAGTTCTGAGGGCAGACCTTATTAAGAAGAGCAGAGTGCTTTGGCATAATTCAAAAAAATTCCTTTACCCCTCCCCCTGCTGGAAGCAGAAGGGGATTTTTCTCTGATAGTCACCGTAAGAGAACCTGGTAGAGGTCTAGAAGATAAAACTTAACAAGTGTTCCCCACCACCACCTCGCCCAGTGACTTGGTCTCCCTAGAGCTTTTCATCTCTCAGACTTGTTCACACTGAGCCTCCAGCAATTCATTAACTGCAGTTCAGGTTTTCCTGCCCTGATACTGGTTTCCACAGAAAGCTCCTAGATTTCTGTTCCAGGAAGTTGTGATCCTCTCTCTCTGTGTGTCAGTCTCTCTAGTTTGGGGAGCAGCAGTTTTCCCTGCAACCTCACTTCTCCTGTGGATCTAAGAAGAGTTGTTGATTTTTTAAATTTGTTCAGCTTTTTACTTGTTGTTGGTTGGGATAGACTGGTGATTTCCAAGCTTCTTACTTGTAGGACCAGAAACTGGAAGTCATCTGGGTGTTTAAATTTAAATTCATTAAAATTGAATAAAATGTAAAGTTCAATTCCTCAGTCACATTAGCCATATTTCAAGGGCTCAGTATCCACATGTGACTAGTGACTACCATGTTGGACAGCGCAATACAGAGCATTTCCATCACTGAAATTTTTGTTATGTTAACTTGCTCTATAATATCACATCACTCCCTCTCCTTGGCATAGAAATGAGCAATCAGAATTGGGAAAAATAAAAGAAATACTACAGCCGAAACATTGGGTTTATCCAGAGTGTTATCCTGGCTTCTTGGGAGCCTGTTCTGCCAGCCAGACCCTGAAGGATTAATCTGGTTTTCAATGGAGATATTCATGTATTTTTTTTCCATTTCCCTCCCTGAGTTCTTTTCTGAAGAGACGTTGCTTGTAGTCCCTGACTTGTTTAATGAATGGTTGTTAACATTCCTTGGCTTGTCACTGTACTTTCCATCTGTGATATATTGTGGCTTATCAGCACACCAGGATATTCACTGATGATTTTAGAGTGCTTTGCAACTACCATTTGGTTGCAATTTCTTTCCTCTTTTTCAAAATTGAGAAAAGGGCGCTTTTTTGGCTCAGTTGATTATCGGTCTCCAATTCAACTCGAGATATGCAGATGAGCTCATGCTTGAAAGGAAGGACCATGATTTCTGGGCACAGCGACTCCTCTGCAACCTCTTCAGGGGTTAGCTCCTTCCTTTATCACACCCCTGCTCCACGGGACTTGCGAGTGGAATATGTGTTTTCCTTGCTCCTCACTTCAACTTTCAAGCCATTATTCCTCCCCCTCCTCTCTAAAGTCATGTCTTTGAATCTCGGGTCGTCTGACCATACCATCTGCTGCCTTTCCTTGTGGCAGTCCTCCATAGCACCCTGTTCCCTTTCAGTTCCTTTGGTGCTCTTTGAGAGGTTTTAGCTCACTTCTGTATTCTCTCTAGCACTGCTCCCATTATAATTCCTTGTGATTTCGGTACCACGCAGATGATCCTTCAGTTCTTGATCTCTCAGTTCTTTGTCCACCTTCCAGCTCCAGTAACTGCCATGGTCACACTCTAGACCTTGTCATATTAATACCTTTAACTCTTCCGTAATCGCCATTTCAAGCATCCTCTTCTCCTATCTTGCTTCTCACTTTCTCTAACATTCTTACTTCAGTGCCACTGCTAAGACCTGTAACCTGCCCTTTTACACTGTCTACTACTCCTCATATTCTCACTTCTCACCTTTCATCAATTCTCTTTGCCTCTTTCTTCCTTCCTTAAACAATCCTGGTACAACCAACACTGTTGCCATCTAACTCTTTTGTCAACTCTGCACTGGCTCCTTTACAGACTTGAAAAAAAGCACCCAGTCATCTCACTTTAAATTCAAGTCTGATATCGTCCAAGCAATTCCTCAGTTTTGCCAGGCAGTCAGGCTACATTTCCCCAGCACGTCCATTCTCTCGCTCCTGCTCCTGGACGACTGCTTCATGCCATCTCTGTTATCCTCAAGCCTTCACTCTCATTTGAAGATTCTGCTCCCTATTTTACAGAGAAAATGGTAGCACTAAGAAGCTGTTCCACACAAGCTCTGCCATTCCATCTAACCTCCTGTGCATGTATGCCTGTTTCCTCTCCTTCCCTTCTGTTGCTGTGCATGACCCGTCTGTGCTCCAATCAAATGCCATTCCTTCTCCTTCTGTATTTGTTGATCCCTTTCCCCTTCGTCTAGACAAAGATATCGCTCCAGCTTCTTTCCCTTCTCTGTCTCACATTGTCAGTGCTAAGCCATCTACTGGATTATTCCTATCAGCATAAATACATGCTATAATTTTTCCCATCCTTAGAAAAATTTTTTTTCTTTCCCTCCCTTTTTTTTCCCCTAGACCTCTACTCCATTTTTCTTTTCCCTTTTACAGCCAAATTAATCAAAACTGTTTCCTGCATTCACAACACCAGTTCAAGTCCTTTCATTTGCTCTTGAACTCAGTTCAGTCAAGACTTGGACCCCATCATGCCAGTAAAATGGTGAAAATCATCAGTGATTGTCATGTTGTGAAATAAAATGGTCAGTTCTCAGTCCCCATCTCGTTGGACCTATCAGCTGTGTTTGACTCGCCTGATCAGTCAATCTCGAAAAACTTGCTTCCCTCAGTTACCGGTGAAATTCACTCTCCTGCTTTCACTTGACTTCACGGGTGTCTCCTTAGTCTAGTCTCGTTTGCTGGTTCTGCCTCATCTTCCTGACAGCTAGATGTTGAACTGCTGCAGGCTTCAGATCTTGGGTATCTCCTCTTCCCTACCTACACTCTTTCTGTGGAGATCTCACCCAGTCTAATGTTTTACTTTCTTTTAAATGCTGATCCTTCCCCTATTTATATCTCTAGCTCAGATCACTGTTACTGAACTCCAGACTTACATATCCAGTTGCCATCTCAATGACAATCATCTTGCATTTACATGTGAAAAACTCAACTCCTGATTGTCTCACTCTCTTCTCCGGGCTAGAGCTCCATTCCTCTCGAAGGAAAATGTCCCCATCTTACGCTCTCACAGCACCGAGTCCCCATCCTTTACAGTACTCACCACATGTGAAGTTCTCAGTTTATGTGACTCCAATTCATGTCTATCTCACAGACAGACTATCATCTCCTTAAGGACCAGTGCCTTGGCTGCTGTTTCTTTTTATTGTATCCCTAGTATCTAGCACACAGCATAGAGATCAAAAAGAAATATTTAAGAAAATAATAAATCGGTATAAATATTTTAAGGAACAAAGATGGTGGAGTATTTACAGATCAAATCCTGTTGAAATAAACCAGCAATATTTACCTGAAATAGACTAAGTCTATTTTGGAGATACCACTTATCTCTTCTAGGTGCCAAAATATCTAGCCTAAGGGTTTAAGAAGAATTGAAAGCCTATAGCACTGTGGTTAAAAGCATGGGATTTGGAATCAGACTCTTTCTGAGTGTCCGTTCTTCATCTTTTAAATGGGGGACCATCTTTCAAATGTGACCAAGCTCTGAGTCACAGAGCTTCTGTGAAAATTTAATAATATGGTACATATATTTAGAGAGTAAAACCTAAATATATATTTAATGTGTGATGATGACAGTGATGATGCCTGGCGTTAGCTGTATACCAAGCAGGATACTCTGGAGCACAGAGGCAGAAGGGGCTAATACTGCTTATGGAAGTTAAAAATTGCTTCACAGAGAAGATGATGTTTCAACTAGCTTTAAAAGACAAGCAGGAAGTTGCCAGGAAGAGAACAGAGGGAAAGGTACAGAAGACTAAATAAGCATGGTCAGAAAATACTCTCTAAGGGAAATGTAGCTAGAGTGGGAGGGAAATTATCTGAAATTGGGAATTTTAAAAATATATCTTTGTGTTAGTTTTAAAGTCTAAATAGTTGACTAGAGATTTCTTTAAGTGGCTGTAGCATCTCTTTATTCTTATTAAAAAAGAAATTAATACTATTTAGGGGAAATATGAAAAATACAGAAAAGCATATATGTATATACATGTATGTGTATTTGTATATATATATGCACACATTATAATTTAAAGTGTTCTTTCTGGAGACAATCTTTATTATCCTTTTGATATCTGAGTATTTCTTTTTAGTTTTTTTCTATATTTATATGCATTTTTACATAAGTAGATTGTAATGTATAAATGGTTTTGTGTTCTCTTCTTTCCTCCTTAATATTCTAATGTAAGTATACTTTGCTGAGTGCTTGCAATGTCTCAGACTTTGTACCACCTGTTATGTATACTATTTCTAAGCGACTATGCCTTTGTAAGTATCATTACAAATTAGAAAGTTGAGATTAGTTTTCTAGAGCTAAAGAAATGTTAGAAGCAGGATTCAAACTCCTAACTCCAGAGTACATCCTTACAACTTTTTAAACCTCCATAGTGATATTTAATTGCTACAAAATAATATTTCATTGTTATGAATACACTATAATTTACTTAAGTATACCTCTATTTTCAGATATTTTGGTTGTTTGCGACTTGTCACTATTATAAATAATGCCAGTAATGAACATCTTTGGAGTCTGTGTTATTTCCTGTATTTAGGGCTCATGTATTATAAGAGAGTCGTAGAATTCATTATCAGGTCAAAAGGCATGAACTCACAGCTTATTGACATTTTGCTTTCCAGAAAAACTCATGGCATTTCTGGTATTCTATAAACAGTTTACTTCAATGAAAAGATTTCCTACTTTTGATTGATAGGCCACAGATACAGTGCTTTATTGATCTCCTTATAATGAAGTTACTACCATAAATGATTCAGTGCAGTGCTTTCTTTATTCAACTCATAATCCACAAAAATAAAAATTATTATAATGATTGTGGACTTAAGTAAAATCCCAGGATAATATAAATTGTTAAAAAGAAACCCAAATAACAAAAACTGTGACAATGACAACAAAATCAACCAAAAATCCCTCTTCCCAGCCTATCTAAATGTGTTTTGGGGT